AAGAGAAGGTCCATCCTTTTGTTGAAAGACAGGATCGAGCCAGTCTTCACCTAAGAATGGGTGGCAAAGAGGGTGCTCCACAGGCAGCTGAGTTTGTTTTGCTGGGATATGTTCTCTGAAAGTGTTTGTAGTGTTCTGGAGCTGGAAAGGCTTCTACTGGATGGAAGGAATATTTTGACTCAAAATCATCCAAGAAAGATAGGACAGTGTAATAGAATCTCTGTGGTCATTCCTCAGGAGTGGTGGACTAGGTGGAGGTGGCCCAGCTGGTGTCCTTGGAGGCGGAGGTGAGGGCTTTCCTGGACTTAGGGCATCTGACCAAGCACTCAGTATGGGGGAGAGAGAAAGGGAGCATCCCTGGCGCCGTTTTGAACCATGGGTGGTGGAGGTGGAGGAGCTCCCACAGGTCTGAGCTCTGGCACTCAGCTCCTTTGGGCTGCAGTGCAGCTGCACCAGAGCCACAACCACAACTGCTTCCTTTGGGCTTCTCGAGGACCGGAGCTCTCCAATCATTGATGTGGGTCACCTTTTTCAGCTTGGTCCCTTTGCAGACATCCTGTAAAAGAACCCCTCGACCCCGCTGCCCATCTTTACTTAGCTTGGGCTGCACTGTGTGTTTGCCTGATTAAACGTGGGAAGTGGTGGAGGGGGAGGAGGAATTGGCATCCTTGCCCTGCTGGCAGTTGGCACTGCTCTCTCTCCACTTTAATTTGCAGCTTTAGGTCACTCATATACTCCCAAGCCCCAACAGCATTCTCAAACAAGTTGTCAGGAATCAACAGGAAAAATAGTCTATTCATAAAGAAGTATTTTCAACTAATTCCTGTCACCTCTATTCATCTTTTTTTCTGTGTTTCTAGTTCTATTTGCCTCTGGCCATTGCCATGGTTAAAATGGTCTCCTGGTCGCAGCTGCTCCGAGAGCGAGTCCTCCATCACCTCCGCTCCGGCTTCGTCAGGTCCCGCTCGCCCCTTGGCAAGCTCCTTTTCTAGCCCGTCTCCTTCATTCTCAAACGCTTCTCTGCCTGGAAGGAAATGTGGCTGGAGGCAAAGTTGATGAACAGCATCGCAGCATAGCTGACCAGGGGAAAGATTCTGATAATCATGTTGTTGCTGTTATTGTTACTAAGTGCCATCGAGTCGGTTCCGACTCACAGCGACCCTGTATAGGATTTCTGAGAAGTAGTCCTTGGCCATGTCTAATGCATATATTACCGTCTTTTGTGGCTTGGGGTATGGGTGCCATATGTGGCTCAGTGAGATATACTCATGTATATTAAGGGCAAGGCTATGAATAGTCCATAAAAGAATCAAGTGTTTAATGCTTTAGTTGGGAATTAAATCTTTGGGCTTATTAATGTACAGGCTGACCCAGTTGACTACTGTTATTGTTAAGCGCTGTCGAGTCAATTCTGACTCATAGAGACCCTGTATAGGGTTTCCGAGGAGCAGCTGGTGAGCTTGAACCACCGACCTTGCAGTTCAAATGGCTTTGCAGTCTGGTGCGTTAACCCACAGCGCCACACCAGGACTCCAAGTTGACTAGGCACTGAAAAATGGAGTGTCCAAATCCTTTTCATTCCAGCAAATGTCAGAGGTAGGCCTAGCTTGCTGTATTTGTCACATGAGCTAAGAACTCATAATGGATTAGCAAAGATAAAGGGTTACCAGCACTCTCCATCAAGTGCAGTTGGTTGAGTTCAGGGCTTGAGGCTTTGACTGGGCAAGATATTTTATTCAAGCGTATTCTTTTACACCCCCTTGCTTCCTCTGACAAATTCATGTAATGTGTGACCTATGCTCCAATTCACCACCAATTTGGAGGTATCTGCACCATGCCAGCAAGAAGCCACAACTCCTGAGCAATGTGTTCATATTTATTGTAGCATGGCTTAAATGTGTATGCGATTGTCCATTTTGAAAGTTACTCATATATAGTTGTTCATAGATTCCTTGTAGTAGAAACAAATTGAAGAACTTATCCTCAAAATGGCACGTCATTCAAATATTCAGTTGATAATGTTTCCTTTTATACCTTAAAAAATAATAATGCATGGTTACTGGTGTACTTCAAAGAGAATTAATGACCTTTTTAAGTTTATGGCAACCCTGCCAAGATTTTATCCCCCAAAGAAGCACCAGGTACAAACCATCCATTGCCTCCATTTCTGAGCAGAGCTTGGATGGTTTGTTTTTGGAGATAATGGGACAAGTACTGCTGAAATGTTGCCAGTAGTTTCCTTGGGAAGCATGTTTAGCAGGAGATAGTGGTCTTTTGGTCTCCTTTTATACTATAAGACAGCAAGGTTCCCATTCCCACAGCTTAATGTGGATTTGTACAGCCTTCGTCAGTTTTGGAGGAAGAGGCCAAATTAAATCTGTAACAATGTCCTCATTAGATTCGGACAGCATAGCTGTTAGAAACATTTGTACGTCTTAGTGAGGTGCATTGATTTCCACACTTGATAACACCAAGTTACAAGTGGATTTGAGGGGATGAGAGTAGAGGGAGGTTATTAAAGTTCAGTTTGATTCTTCAGGAACCTGGAGGCCTAAGAAATTCCTCTCTCCCTACCAATTTACAAGCCCAACTCTCCATCCTCACCTAGCACCCCCAGGTCCCACCAGCCCATAATGCTCTTTTGTAAAAGTTATGGATAAAACACTCTATCCTTCCTCAAAACACTAAAAAAATATCTGTTGGAAAATTGCCACGATAAATAAAAGTTTAAAGGGATATGAATGGCGCATTAACCATATATTCTCCCCTCCCAAGAGCTCTAGTGAGCTCTTCCAAATGATCTTTCTTCCCCAAAATGGCTTTCTTCCTTACAGCCACGTGGTGTACTCACTATGTGAAGTCTGGGAGCCAGGGAAAGGAGCTACAATTATAGACCAGAGAAGGTGGATTTCCTTTTTTACAGATGTAGGCCATTTTTGCTTCTGGAAAATCATTGTTGTTAGTTGCCATTGAGTTCCTCTGACTCACAGTGACCTTATGTTGGATAGAATAAACTCTCGTCTGGTCCTGTGCCATCCTCATCATCTTTGGTATGTCTGAGTCTACTGTCACAGGCAATCCATCTCACTGAGGGTCTCCCTCTTTTTTGCTGACCTTCTACTTTACCAAACATGATGTCCTTCTCCAGTGGTAAGTTCTCCTGATGATGTGTCCAAAGTTAATGATCCTAGGTTAAAAGAAGCACTCTGACTGTACTTTTTCTAAGAATGATTTGTTCATTGTTTTGAAAGCCTGTGGAAATTTTAATATTTTTCACCAACACCAAAATTTGAATGTTCCTAATTTAGACCCTTTCTAATAAGTTGTGTGAGGTGATTATATACCATCATGGGTCTTTGGGAAAGTTATTATAAGGCTAAGTTAGTGGATACATATTTACTTCTTAAGGTTTTTGCAATAAAAACTTAAATAACAGAGAAATTTTCACTTTGAAAATGCATCTAGTGTTAACATGAATGCCAATTCAGTACATATGTGTAACAATTTATACATCCCAGAATAGTGAAATACTCATTATCCCATTTGATACCATTCTGTGTTCAGTCACTTTTACACAACCATAGAGTCTTGGGCAACTAGGAGATAAGGCATTCTACCAAGGTCACACAGCAATATAGAAAGTCACAACTCAAATTCAAGGTTATGTTGAAAATATATTTACCATATATACATGGCCATTAGACAGTCAAACAATTCTTTGTATACTGTAAATACCACCCAGTGAACATTCACACATCCCGAACTATCTGTGACAATGCAATTTCTAGGATGACACTCTTCCAGGACGGATCTGCTTTTTGTGAATCCAACGTTTCTTACAAATAGTGCACAGAGCAACTTCTGTGAGAAATGTTTGTACTTCGTGGAGCCTTGACCCCCAGCCCCAGACAACTCCTTGGACTTCACTAAGTTGAGATGGGCAAGGCACTTTACAATAATATTGTCTTTGGGACACAGTTTTCCAGTTTGCCCTGTACTTCATACTCTCCTACCCTAAGGGAACCAAGCCAAATATTAAGCTCTCAAATAACTGGGGTTCAATTCCATCTGATGGACCTTTACATGCTCTGAAGAGGCCGTCTGGCTCCAGTGTGGCATTTCATAGAAAATGCTGGTGCTCCTCTGGAAAAAGGTCTATAAACATCTTACAGAATACAAGTTTTTTTTTTTTTTTTTTTTTTACCAGTAGGAGGAACTTAGATTACACTAGCAGTTTGTGATTGGTTGCTCACCTAAAGGCAGGCAGTTTGAACTCACTCAGTGGTTTAATAGAAAAAAGTACTGCCTATCTGCTTCTGTAATGATTATAGTCAAGAAAACTTCGTGGGATAGTTTTACTTTGTAAAATATGGGGACACCATGAGTCAGAATAGACTTGATGGCAACAGCTATACTAGCTGAAGGATGCAGGCACTAGGCAACTGAGGCCTCAGACTTCTCCACAATATCACCAGCATCAGTGCATCCACTACAAACAAGAGATGCTCAGTATTTTGCTTTGTTCCTGGTGCCTGAGCAATGTAATCCCATCTTTGAAAAACAATTACTGTTTATCTACCATCTTACACTTTGGCCTATAACCCCATTCCCTCTACCTATATACTATGTACTTGATATCACAAATACAGGAAGAGAAGATTAAAATTAAGATTTTTTAAAAACCGAAAAAACAAAAAACAACCGGAAGAAGAACACTTGAAGGCTTGAAGGGGTTTGGCTCAGCAGAATATCTCCAGAATTCTCAACCCTCAGGGCTGAGGCCCAGAAAAATCTTGTTCTGGAAGATTTCTCCAAAGTCGAGTGTTCCTAATTTTCAGTGGATAGCAGGCCCCCGTTCCTCTCCTGGAATGCAGTTGAAAGGGCTCCTACCACACAGAAGGCACAAGTAAGAAAACAAAAATAAGGACTTTGCTTCCAAGGTTCCATAAATAACTGGGTTGGCAGGTATATGAAATAGGACCATTGAAAAAGATGTGGTGTTACAACTTGTTCTCCTCAAAGAGAATCTGGGCATAGACCGTGCTGGTGGGGAGGCCCTTGGTTTTCTGGTGGGGTTTAATCAGCTCCAGCTCTGCGTAGGTCAAGCTTTCCTCAGCAATTTTTGGCTACAAGACAAAACACAACAAAATTATAACTGACCACTAGGAGTTCTACAGTTTCATTCATTTATCAAGCATGAATTTTCCCAGGATTTTAAAGATTCAAAGTGGAACAAATAGACAAAAATTTTAAAGGCTATAAAGTAACCCACTGTCACGGAATCGATTCTGACTGCTAGTGATCTTCCAGAACAGAGTGAGTCGGCCCCACCCCCCAGGATTTCTAAGGATGGAATCTTCACAGACGCTGACTGTCAGATCTTTTTTCTGCAGTATGGTTTGTGGGCTTGAATCACCGACCTTTCAGTTAGCAGCTAAGTACGGCAACCACTGTATCACCAGAATCATTTAAAAGACATATAGAACCTAAATAAAATAATGAATAAAATAGATGCTACTGTCTCATATAGAACACTATGTCCTACAAAGATAAACTATAATTTATTTTCAAGCTGATATAGAACAATCACACAAAAATGATTAAACATTAAGCCACAAAGAGAATTTTTAATTCTGAAGAGTAAAAATATGGCAAATAGTATCTGGTAAAAAGGAAAAAAAGAGACAAAACCAAACCAAATTATCTTAAAAGTTAATAAAACATCACTTACCAGAACCTAAATAATAAGGCTAATGCAGTGCTCAGAGAAAAATTCAGTAGTCTTATGTACTTATACTAAGGACCCTTGGTACTGCAAAGGATTAAGCACTTGGTGCCTAACTGGAAGGTGGGAGGTTTGAACAAAGCCGGTGGCTCCACTGGAGAAAGATCTGCTTCCTAAAGATTTCAGCCTAGAAAGCAGCAGTTATACTCTTCTGTCATCTAGGATCACCATGAGGCCTAACTGACCGGACACAGAACCCAACAACAACTCCTACTGCTGTTGAGTCAATCTGTACTTGTAGCAGCCCAAAAAGGGGGTACAACTGCTTTTGAGATTAGCAGCACAATGCTTAGTGCACTACACCAACAAGGTTCCTTTAACAATAAAAACAAGTTCTTATATTAAACAATATAAATACAATGAATTAAGCAATCAAGAAGTTAAGAAAAGAACATCAGAACTAATGAAAGAAAAGCAGAAGGAAGAAATTGATAGAAATAAAAGCAGACACTATAAACTAGGAAATAGTGGAATAGTAGTATTTTGTAATCCCAAAACTGGTACTTCAGAAGTACCAAAAAAGTAAACTGACAAAAAGGGAAACACATAACGAACAAAATTAGAAATGAGAAAAGGGATAAATATAAATGAGGAAAACTTTTCCTAGAAATATATAAGCTATAAACATAACTCCAGATAAAATAAATACACTAATTACCACAAATACAAAAAAGAAAGAAAAAATGTCAGAGTGACTGCTCAAAATTTCCCAGGCAATTTTAGAGGAAAATTTCTAAAAGAAATTCCTTTAAGAAACAGTTAACACCAATTTAACTAAACAACTGTAGAGCATTAATACAAAGAAAGAAAATTTTCACATACTTTACTTTAATCTCATTTGTTAATATAAATTGTAAATAAAATTTCTCAGGGAAATTGCATAAGCACATTAATAGATACATAAGCATGTTTGTTGTCATGTGCCGTCGAGTCGGTTCCGACCCATAATGACCCTGTGTAGGGTTTCCGAGTAGCAGTAGGTGAGCTTGAACTTTGAAGTTCGAACGGCTTTGCAGTCTGATGCATTAACCCACAGTGCCACAACAGGACTCCATGTTTAAGTTTAATTTATTGATAATTCAATAAACTAAAGCAAAGATGGTTTAATATTATTTTTTAAAATCAGATAATTAATAGTAATAGAACAAAAGAGAAAAATCGTAAAACCATCTCTATGTTGTTGTTAGGTGCTATCGAGTTGGCACCGACTCATAGCAACCCTATGCACAGCAGAACGAAACACTGCCCGATCCTGGGTCAACCTCACTACTGTTGCCACACTTGAGTCCAATCCATCTCGTTGAGTCCAACCTCACTACTGTTGCCACACTTGGCCAATCCATCTTGTTGGGGGTCTTCCTCTTTTTCTCTGACCCTCCACCTTACCAAACATGATATCCTTCTCCAGCGACTGGTCCCTCCTGACAATATGTCCAAAGTATGAAAGACGAAGTTTGGCCATCTCTATAGATGCTGGTAAGTCATATAATAAAGTAAAAAGACATTTTTGTTTAAAATTTTTTGAGGAGGGGCAGCGCTTCCCTGACTGGCCAGGACAGGTACACGGGCTCGGAAGAAAGGAGGTGGCGGTATCACAAATTGGGACCCCTGCCTGGTAGACAGACAGCTTTTGGGCAAACATAAAACATTAGGCTGCAACTTTATGAACTTGTTTTTTTGAAGGATCAAACTATTGAGGAGTTACGAGCATTTCTAACTTCCACACGCCTGCTCAGGGCACCTACCCGGAGATGGCCCCGCCCACTGCGGAACCTAGCAGGGCCTGAGCGGAGCCATTCAAAGGGCTGACGCTCTCAGAAAACTAGAGCGGCCACAGGAACCAACACAGTCCATCCCAGGGGGGTCCTGATTGCCACATTGGACATTGCCAACTAGTATATAGGACAAATTGAGGGACTCAGGGCACAGGGAGACAGGGAGAGGCATTTTAGACGTCATCAAAAATGGACCCCATCTGCCTACAAGCCCATCCCCCACCTCTTCGGCCTAGGCCAGCCCTCTGCCCAGCCTCCTAGCCCCAGGCATGCCCAGCAAAGCATCAAGGTTTCACTGTCCGAGCTGAGTAGCAGCTTAATACCAATAACAAAGCACCCCTGCTGTAGTTTAGTCCACCAGACCAAAGCCTTTAGATTTGCAGGAACTGTGGTTCCAGCCCAACAGTTGCTATTGGCAACCATATACTGGGTAGTAGTGGGTCATAATCCACCCCACAGTATCTCAACAAGTAGCAAAGCTCAGAGGGGCTTGAAACAGTGTAAAAACATTATAAACTAACTGAAGAAGCAGAGAGGGCAGGGCTTGCTGGCGGCTAGGGTTAAGGCATAGTGAAGGTCGCCGTCAAAAGTGGCTCGGAATTCCAGGCAGAAAGGAGACAAAACAGAGCGCTGGGATTCGGACCCACAGAGAAAGGAGTGGTTTGGAGGCTAGGAGACGTGTAGCCAGTGAAGTTTGGAGCAGAGACATGAGGTTGCGTACCCTTGAGTCTGCCAGCCAGGCTAGGAGACCTTGACCCACATCCTGGGCAAGACAGAGTGGCTGGACTAAACAGGGGTCTAGAAACACCACAGAAACACTCCGCAGGAACATTTAGGGGGCGAAAAAAATGGCGCACGGTGTGCTTTGCCGATTTTGGGTGGCTCCGATCTTGTTTTTTTTTCCTTTGGTGTCGGGAGTGCGTGCGATCATGGTTTGCCCACATACATCTGGGAGACGGGAGGTGGGGGCTTAGCCAAGTGGCCAGGACCCGCCCCCACCGCTGGTGCTTTCCTCTGCCAGGAGCTTACACACCCAGACCAGGCAGAGACACGGGTTTGGTCTGCCTTTCATCACTGGTTTGAGAGGAAGCCCAGCGTAGTGTTGTGGGTTGAGATGCTGCACTACAAACTCTATTGAATGACAAGGATGGTGGGACAGAGCCGATGGTTCATGCTCACCAGCCTTTCATCGGAAACCTTATACAGGAGACATGGATGTGTGTCCTACTTGGTTGGCTTACATTCACTGGTTTGAGAGGCGACCCATTGTAGCACTGTGGATTGTGGTGTCACTGCAGGGCCTTTTGGTCTGCGGGGTCGGTGGTACAAGCTCATGGATCGCTCCTCGGAGGCCCTGTGCAGGGGACGCGGATGTGCGTCGTATGTGGTCTGCTGTTTTGTTTTCACTGATATGAGAGGAGTCCGGCACAGCGCTGTGGGCTGAGGTGACGCACTGCAGGGCCTTTTGAGCTGCAGGGTCAGTGGTTTGTGC